GGGGGGGAGACAGGAAAATACCAATGGTGAGAGAATCATTGATTGGCTGCCTCCTGCACACCCCACACTGGTGATTGAGTCAGTAACTTGTGCATGTGCCCTGACTAGGAATTGAATCATGACCTCCTGGTTCATAGGTCGAAGCTCAACCACTGAGGCACACTGGCTGGGCCATCTCAAGGTTTTAAATCGACTATTTGCTCATGATAAAGCCAAAATCTTTATTTCTATCCCAGAATGCTAGAACCGCATTTCCAAATGCTGCCAAAAGTCCCAAGGATAGCTCACTTTCCATGCTGGAATCTGTACTGTTTCCAAAGGAGTTTCTGCCTGTCTTTGCTCTCTGACATAATAGCACCTGCATCCAACCACTCATGGAGCCTGAACCCTTATCATTCTTCACATTGTAACCACAACCAAGTCCTGCTGAGCTTTCTCACTATACAGTTTGTCTTTTGAATGAAGTTAATGTACACACAGTATAGTTTGTGAAGCTCTGTTACTCTTGGCTTGGTTCAGGCCCTAAATCTGTCTTTCGTAAACAATGAAGTAAACTGGCTGGGTTTCTTCCTCAGATATATTCTCTTCTATACTATATCAACACTAATTCTCACAACTTAAATATGACCGTGTTTGGTAAGGAAATTGACATGGCACCATGCACTATAGTAATAGTAAATTGCCAGGCACATATTATGCCCTTTATTCTCTCTGCCCTTTTATTGTGCTGTTCCATTGACCTGAGTGTTCTTACCTCTCCTCACCTCTGAACCCCTTCCCTAAACTCAGTGGAGGGAAATCCTCCACTTTGTATATCATAGAAATGAGTTTTTGCCTCTGATGGAACACATCATACTTTATTTATTGTTTTTAAATATTTTATTGATTTTTTACAGAGAGGAAGGGAGAGGGATAGAGAGTTAGAAACATCGATGAGAGAGAAACATTGATCAGCTGCCTCCTGCACACCTCCTACTTGGGATGTGCCCGCAACCAAGGTACATGCCCTTGACCGGAATCGAACCTGGGACCTTTCAGTCCGCAGGCCGACGCTCTATCCACTGAGCCAAACCGATTAGGGCCACATCATACTTTATTAACTTGTTTGCTTGCCCATTAAACTGCTCTTCTATGTGAGGATTATGATTCATCTTTGTGTCTCCAGCATAGTGATGGGCACATACTCTGATAGATGTTCCAATGTTTGCTGACTGAAATGTGGTCAGTTGAGACCTTTGGGTTCAGAACAAATGACAATGCTATGTTTGAAAATTTTAAATAATATGCAGTAATGGCTAAAATCTCAGTAGAAGACTCAAACTGACACCCAAAATGTTGGTTGTAAAGAGTTATAAACAGTATGCTTATTTTTTATAGAATTGCTTTTGACCTTCTTGCCCATCACATATGTTATTCACTATAATACTTGCATTAACAGATATCAAATTGGCCTTCCCAGGAAGTCAGTTTAGAGTTGGGTGGAAAGTATTTCTATTGTTTGAGCTTGGTATCTACTGCATCTGGAAAGACCAGCTCACTTTTTCCTTTATCGATGTGAGTTTTATTAAAAGTGAATTTCTTAGTAAAGTAGCAGAACTTGGAATCCATTTTCCCATTAAAAACAGTACTATCAGTGGTACTTATGTTCTCAGGCTAACAAAGCCTCCCCAACTTTAACAGTTTTATTGACATATAATTCACATACCATGTAACTTACCCATTTAAAGTACAGTTTTTAAGTACATTCACAGGATCACTACAATCTATAATTTTAGAACATTTTTGTCTACCCTAAAGGAAACCATTTACCTATTTCCACACAAGCCCACCTCAAGCCCTAAACAACGACAGCTCTCGTTTCTGTGTCTAAATTTTTCTATTCTGGACATTTGATATACATGGAACCACACAGTATATATGGCCTATTTGGCTTCTTTCATTTAGTACTAGAGACCCGGTGCACGGATTCATGCAGGTCTCTCTGCTTGGCCTGCGAGGATCGGGCTGAAACCGGTTCTCCAACATCCCTCAAGGGTCCCAGATTGTGAGAGGGCGGTTCTTGGGAATTGGGCTCCCTCCTCTCTGGTTCCGACTGCGTCACTCAAGAACCAAAGCTGCCAAGTCACTGCAGGTCGGCAGCTCCTGTGTTGAGCGACTGCCCCCTGGTGGTCAGTGCACATCATAGCTACTGGTCAGAGCGTCTGCCCGTTGATCATTGTGTGTCATAGCTACCGGTTGGACAGTCGCTTATGCTTTTATATAATGTTTTAAAGGGCCTTCCATGTTGTAGCATATATCAGTATTCTGTTAATATTCATTGCTAAATAATATACTGTAGGAGATATACCATATTTTCTATTAATTGATGGATAGTTGGATTTTTCCCTACTTTTTGGCACTTAATCAGTTATATTGCAATGAACATGCACATATGAATTTTTGTGCGGACATACAATTTCATTTTTCTTATTTTTTAAAAGTAGAATTGCTAGGTTATGTAATAACTCTGGGTGACTTTGAGGAACTAACTGTTCCCCATGTTGGTTGGACGTCTTTACATCTCCACCAGCGATGCATTTAAAAAAATTTAGGACAGTGCCCTGGATTGTACAGTCAGGTAGTTATCAGGTTTCATCTACTTTTTCATCTTTAGGCTAACGTGAGACAGTTTACCACTGCTACTGAAACCTCCTGTCTTTAAGATGACTTTTGTTTCTATTTGAGAAAGCATGATTGCACAGGTTTATGAAGGATGATCTCATAAAGAGGGTTAAATGAGGTTATTTTAATGCCTAGCACATAATAGATGTTTAGAAGATTGCAGCTTTTGTTACGTTTACCGGTTTTTTTTTGTGTGCAGTGTATACCAGTTGGCTGAGGGCTTTTAATTGCCATCTTTTTTTGTTATTGTTAATTCTCACCAGAGGATATTTTTTTCCATTGAGTTTTAGAAAGGAAAAGAGAGAAGGGGAGAGAGAGAGACAGAAACATCGATGTGAAAGAGACACATCGATTCGTTGCCTCCCGCACTCACCCTGCCCAGGGCTGGGCATCGAACCTGCAATCTGGGTACATGCCCTTAACCAGGAATCAAACCATGACCCTTTAGTGCTCAGGCCGACGTTCTAACCACTGCACACACTGGCCAGGGTGCCACATATCATTTGAATGAAAGGATTAAGAGAAATCAATCATTGAAGAACATCTTATCTGGATGCTAGAGATTAAGATGGGCAGTAGTGACCACTAAAGCCGTATATGACACTTCTCAAAACATTCGGCCTCGAGAGGCAGAGAGTAGTTGCTTTTAGCACATTTAAATAGCATCTAAGTATTTTGTGCTGACCCCAGAGCGTTTTAGGTCTTATTTATTTAAAAATGATTCAGCTAAGAATGAGACAGATGGAGACGTGTGTATACCTTCATACTCGCATGTCCTAAGGAAGAGGCATGTGCTGAGTATGGAGATGTGTGAGACCCGCTGAGACATGCAGCTCTGATGTGAAATGCCCTGGTGCCCATCTTCTGCATGTCACTGTGCTGCTCTCCTGGAATCTACCTGGTGTTTGTGTGCGTTGCTGGTGAAGGGGGAAAGGGAAGAGGAAAACCGTGTCTTGAGATTATGGCTCCCTATTAAGCTCTCTCTTATTTATTCTTTGTTGCTCTTCATAATAGATTAGAAATGCAGGGACATGTAAGACATGGCAAGGATTTACTCCTCTCCCATGTGCCCAAAGCTATCCTTGACTTATCCAGCCTCAACCTTGCCTGCTTTGTCTGCCAGTGTGCCCAGCTCCCAATGTGTCAGAACCCCCCTTTCCCTCATTCTGTTAGATCAGTTGGGTTATGGTAATTCTGACTAACCCCTTTCCCCAGTTGTAGTTATTCTTTGAAAGAGAAGGGTCAATCGTACAAAGAAATCTTACTAGTTTATTAAATTTTAGGCAGAAAAACTGCGGGGAAGTGGCTCACAATTCTGTGTATCAGCATCATTTTTTTTTTTTTTTTAAGAATTTTTGTGAGTTTATTTGAGCCAAACTGTCGACATATGCCGGGAAGCAGAACCTCAACAAATTGAGATAATGCTCTGGAGAATGTAGGGGCTACATCTGTATTTATACACTGCAACCAAAGGAGGAACATAGGTGGGCCACATGAAATCCATTGGTGATAGATTAAGGAGGAGGGATAAGCAAAGCAGGGAAACCCCTGGGATTGGATAAAAAGTAAAATGATGGACACATACTTAGGTGGGTGCAGGAACAATTAACATGATAATGAAGGAATTTGTGGTATCTGTCCTGGGGCCCAGCACATTTGGTTGTGCCCCAGGGGCTCCAGATAAAGGGAAGTCACAAGTTACCCAGACATTTCAAGGTTATGTTATCATAGATGCAAAAAGACAGATAGGCTCAGTTAAGGTAAAGGTTGACCTTGTCAGTGAAGATACTGGCCTAGGACGTAACTGCCCACCATAACTGCTTTTAGTTAAAGTTTAATTTCAGACCATCCTTGGTGGTTACTTTAGGTCTCCGAGTTTGCAAGACTGCCATGCAGGCCTTATCAGCATCATTTTTAGGCGCTTTTACAAAGTTCACAAGTTGTGGACCCACTTCCAGAGATTCTCACTTAATTGACATGGAGTGGGGCTGGAGTTCTCTTGAAAAATCTGAGTTCCCTAGGTGATTCTGATATGCAATCGGGGCACATTCCAAAGGCAGCCGATTGATGTTTCTCTCTCACATCGATGTCCCCCCGCCCCTCGCTCCCTCCCTCTCACTTCTTTCCCCCTTCCTCTCTCTAAAATCAATAAAATAAATTTTTAAAAGATTGTGGCTTTTTATAAGAATAACAGAGTTTACCTGGTTGTCTATTGCCAAAGTCTCTTTTGATCCTAAATCTCACATTGTAATAATCGTTTTTTTTTATTCAGCATTAACTGAGTGTATAGCACTTCTCTGAACTGCCAGAATTCTAATGAAAAGTATTTGATGTTACAGGAATACAAGCGCAAGTTAGCCAGAGTTTCCCTGGTGCGCAAAGAACTCAGGTCCCGGATCCAGAGCCTGCCGGACTTATCTCGATTGCCCAATGTCACTGGCAGCCACATGCACCTGCCCTTCGCGGGGGACATCTACAGTGAAGATTGACCAGTCTCTTTCCAGGGCCCAGGACTGTGTGGGAGATGGAGACAGGTTAGGTGGATAGTCCTGTAGCGTTATTTTTGTATATTGTTGAGAGAGTGACACTAACAAACAAAAAAATGACAAGTAATTTATAAAATTGTTTAAAATGTTGGTTTGTTTACTATTTTATTGGTAAGTTAACATGAGTTAGATTAAACAAAGTGATCTCTGTGTATTAATAAGCTCACAAATAGTGGTTATTTTCAAAAGCTCTTTTGTAAATTTTTTTGATCCAGGGCCTTGTGAGAAATTCCATGTTTCTATTTCTTTATGTATTTTCAGATGCTTTTCTTTGTTTCCTTCAGTATCTAATCACTATATAGTATGTCATTCCTGAAGGGTAAGAGTTAATCAGGACTTGGTTGAGACTTAATTATGGTATAATTAGGACTTGATTGTAGAAGGGACTAAATGTTTTAACTTAATCTTCACCCTTCTTCCCGAACAAAATATCATTTGTGTGCCTCTCAATGCCTTTGATTCCTTATTCCTTAGATGTCAGTAATTTAACACTAACCATGGATGTAATTTTTAGGGTCAAATCAGAGCACCATAGGGGTTCCATTCCAGCTGCCAGCGTAGAACATGAGGAGTGTTAAGTAGGGGCCCCTTGATTAAACTGTTTAGAAATAGTTGATCAGAGTAATATGAAATGCTTGGGAAATGTTGTAATGTTGACGTTTTGCTAAGAGGACAGCTTTCATTTCGCCAGATCAGTCTTCTTTTTACATATTGATCCCTTTAACATAAAGCCATCTGAGGGACTAAAAGAAACAAAATAGTGATACTTTTATTATTCCTATAGCCTTTAACTTTAAAAGCAATGGTATTTTTAGCTCTAATATCTCAAGGACACAATATTCATTAATGTTCAATAAAGTAGCCTGGAACATTTTTAATGTTTCCTTAAGGTTTTTGAATGACTGTATATTTGGAAATAAGGCAGTGCTGCACTACAGGGTAGATCTGGTAAATACTATATTTGTATATTTAGAATTACCAAAACAAATGTACTTTTACCTTTCAACTTAACCCTGTGTGTTAGAGCAGTTGCATGCTCTCCTGCTTTCTTCTTAAATCACATTGTTAAGCTGTGGATTTGTACTCAATAATGACTTAGGATAAACATTTTTTTCATTCATTACTTTACATATTAGACATTTTCCTTTTTGTTGTAAGCAGATTCAAATTAGATAGTCAATAAAACATCTTTAAATCCGCAAGCCAATTCTGTCTCACTAGTCTGAATGGCTTCACTCTTTCTTCCTCAGTATGAGAGAGTATAAAAAGAATTTATATGTGAAGAAGGCAAATCTTTATTTTTAATAGCCAGTAGTTCTGGAAACAGTGCTTCTAACAATTTAACCTTTCTCCAAAGCAGACACATGTAAGTGGTTCCCATTCATCTGGCTTCTAGTCCAAAGCTTTTTAGTTACCTTTTGGGAGTTGGGGCACATGTTCTCACAGAAACAATTATAGTTAGGTTCCGTGTGAACACCACCACAGAAAACTCACTGGGAACCTAACCCACTTAATCATGGATATAATTCATGTTGACATAATTAATGTAGTTGACAAATGATGTGCAGTAGTCAGACTCACACATTGGGGTGTCTGTCTTGTGTCCCCCTGTCCCCCTGTAGGATATGTAAGAAAAAGATTCAGCTTGGTAGATGTGTGTAACAAATACACAATTATAAAAACCTAGTTATAACTGTTTTGAAAGTGTATCATGTAAGTTAGATTTTTTTTGTTAAAGTGAAAGCAAAAACTTGTATATTAATTTATTTTCAAACTCTTAACCTTATTTATGATATGCTAAAGTGGTGATTTATTCGTTCAAAATATATTTTTTTTCCACTTAAAACTAATTTATAAACTGTGTATGCCTGGGAAGCTTTGAAATCTATTAGAAATTTGTTGAAATATTTTCACCATTTAAGACAGACTTCTGACTTAGATACTGATTTTAATGCCAGTGTCTACTCTAAATATTTATTATAAAAATGCATTATTTTTTTAAAGAGCTTGATGCAATTTGTGATAAGTGATAGTACTCAACCTGAATCTGAACCCCAATCCCACCCTATGACCAATCCTTCTCAAACCTTTGGTTGTTGGTTAATTCACTGACTGTGAACACAAATGATATGGTGTGGTTTAGAAGTTACATTTTCAGCCTTATGACAGTTAAAACATGGTAAGCCCTTTAGTAGTAAGTAGTCTTTTTTTCTAAAAGGTAGACTACTTCTCAAGAAATGGGCTTAGATGTGGGTATTGTAATACCAAATTCTAAATCATGAGCATTTTCTCCACTGTGCATGTGAGGCAAACCATGTATCTGAGTGCAGTTTGGCCTGGCCCCTCAAAAGAAAAGTGTAACACCCCACTAACACGGGTGCTGTAGTGTGAATGGATACCATCACTCTTTTCTCCACAAACAGTGACAGCTGTCTGGAGTGGCAGTCTGAGCAGATTCCCTGGCGTTCCCTCTGCTCCTTCCATCACTACAGTAAGTAAAGAACCACGTGGGCAGCCGGGAGTCAGATGGCTGTGCTCAGTAGCCAGCCTCCCCTCTGGGAAAAGAGTCCAGATGCAGCTGTTCTGGCACCTTCTCTCACAGGCACTCTGAACCATCAGGGCTTTTCTATAGGAACTCCTTCAGAATCAACAAAAGCTGGGATGACTCAGCTATCTTGATTTGCAAGATTAAAAGAACAAAAACTAGGTTGTCAGTTGTCACTGTAGATGAGCAACACTCAATCTATGAGTGATTGAACTGGTTCTGAGAAATCTTTAGAATGTCCTTTCTGAAATTTCCATTCTAAAAATTGACATTATATGAAATAACATAAGCTACTAAACTGCTTTGTAGTCTATTAAGAAATAGCTCCTAAAGGTAAAATATTGTTTCATAGTTGTTGCGCTATATGAAGCTTTTTTAAAAAGTGTAAACCCAGTTCTCTGTGTTGAAAGGGAGCATTGAGTTACCTACTGAATTTATACAGAGGATTTGTTTCCACCTGTAATTCCAGCCATCCACACGAGTGTTCTTTTTTAATTTTTTTGTTTTTTTTATAAGTGAATGCAAAGTTTATTGGGAGGGGACCCAAGTGGGTTGCCGCACATATGAGTGTTCTGACGTGGCAATAGCACATGGGAAGATGAAGTTTCCCTGTTTCTTTACCCCTATTTGTTTGGCTTTATCTGATGACAATATAAAATGTTCTTAATAAAGTTTTATGTTCTTTTTGAAATGTGTAGCTTATTTTTGTGAATCTGATTGATCAGATATAGGGTGGGGAGGGAGTGATTAATGGACTGGGAGGGAAGGAAAGTATTGGAAGTATTCAGCGACGGAAGTGGAGAAACTGCTGAAGGAGATTGCTTTTGCTTGGCCAGTGGTTCCCAAACTTGAGAGAACATCAGAATCACCCAGGGGGCTTATTAAACCAGAGCTCTGGGGTAAGGTCTGATTGTTTGCATTCCTAACTATTTGGTGCTGATACCACTGGGACTATATTTTGACAACCATGCTCTAGACCAACTTTTGAGGTCCATGACTTGCTTGACAATTTAAAATTCCAGGCAATTCCAGGAGATATGATAATAAAGTATGGGTTTTACAGTTCATTATATAGCAAGTTCCTTATGGGCAGAGGACAAGACCAAATCTTCTGTTGTGACCTCCTGCTCAGTAGTGCTTAAGTGCTTTTGAATAAACAGACTCACTAGTAGTTTGAACTCCTTCTTTGGAGCCCAGGACCTCTCACCACACCTTGCATTTAGAGCACAATGGGGGAATACTTGAAATCTGGGAATCTCTGGCAGTGTTGGCCAAATTTCTTTGATAAAACTCACTTGGGACGTTTGCATATGGCCACATACCAACTGAATCAGAACTTTCTGTGATTCTTATTTAGAAATTCTGGGAGATGTAGTCCTCTTGGCCAGTGCTTCAGTTCTCCATTCCTGGATGGGAGAATTACTTAGCTCTATATACTGTATATGTAATTCCAAGATACTAAAGCAAAAACCCAAAGCATGGATGCTAAGCATTCTGAACTTAGGAAAAGATCTTTATGTGAGCTTTGTGTGATCTTTTCCTAAGTTCAGAATAAATAATGAAACAACTAATCTGAAATGACCATGATCTAATGATCTCTCTGGAGAGATTACATTTTTAAACATTAAGGATTCAAAGACATACTTTAAATATAAATTACTAGAGGCCCGGTGCACAAAATTTGTGCACTCAGGGGGGTCCCTCAGCCCGGCCTGTGCCCTCTTGCAGTCTGGGACTCCTTGGGGGATGTCCACCTGCTGGCTTAGCCCCGCTCCCCAGGGGATCGGACCTAAGCTGGCAGTCAGACATCCTTCTGGCAGCCCAGGAGCCCTCGGGGGATGTCCACTTGTCAGCAGGGAGCAGTCCTAAGCTGCAGTCAGACATCCTTAGCGCTGCTGAGGAGGCGGGAGAGGCTCCTGCCACCACTGCTGTGCTGGCAGCCATTAGCCTGGCTTGTGGCTGAGCAGAGCTCCCTGTGGGAGCGCAATGACCACCAGGGGGCATCTCCTGCATTGAGTGTCTGCCCCCTGGTGGTCAGTGTGTGTCACAGTGACCAGTCATGTCTTTCTACTGTTAGGGTCAATTTGCATATTACCCTTTTATTATATAGGATAGAGGCCTGGTGCATTGGTGGGGGCCGGCTGGTTTGCTCTGAAGGGTGGTGTCCCGAAGGATGGGGGTCCCAGTGGGGTGCCTGGCCAGCCTGGGTGAGGGGCTGATGGCTGTTTGCAGGCTGTTCAAGTCCCCCAGTGGGGACCCTCACCCTATGGGTGTGTGGCCAGCCTGAGTGAGGGGCTGAGGGCTGTTTTCAGGCTGCCCACAGCCCCTTCAGGGTGGGGGTTCCCATTGGGGTGCCTGGCCAGCCTGGGTGAGGAGCTGATGGCTGTTTTCAGGTTGGCCATGCCCCTCGGCGACCCAAACTCCCAGCCTCTCCTTTTTTTCTTTTTTTCTGGGATTTATTTACCTTCTATAATTGAAACTTTGTAGCCTTGAGCGGAGCCCAGGGCCAGCCAGGGCAGGTGGGAAGCTTGGCTTCCTCCATCGCCAGGGGCAACCCAAGCCTCTTGGCTCACTCCAGCTCTGTGGCCGCCGCCATATTAGTTGGGTTAATTTGCATACTTGCTCCTGATTGGCTGGTGGGTATGGCTTGAGCATAGCAGAAGGACAGTTAATTTGCATGTTTCTCTTTTATTATATAGGATATCTATATCCTATGCATATGTGTATAACTGCATATTAAAGTTAGTAAGAAAGCCCGTGCCAGTTTGGCTCAGTGGATATAGTGTCAGCCTGCCAACTGGAGGGTCCCGGGTTCAATTCAGGTCAAGGGCATGTACCTTGGTTGCAGCCTTGATCCCCAGCCCTGGTCGGGGAGCATACGGGAGGCAACCAATCAACGTGTCTCTCTCACATAGATGTTTCCCTCTGTCTCTCCTTCTATTTCTCCTCCTCCCTTCCACTCTCTCTAAAAATCAATGGAAAAATATCCTTGGGTGAGGATTTACAAAAAAAAATTAGTAAAAAAATATTCTCTAAACGGATAGGCCTGAAAAGATAAGTATGAAAGATTTCATATCAAGGCAAGGTTTTATGTCCATACTATAATTTTAATATTCTCTTTAGAGATGCCCAAAGACCCTTCTGCCAAATAGAAAAGAAAGTCAAGAATACATAGTGTCCTTTATTTGCCACTGAGGTAAACAGCTCCCGGCCTAGGAGTTCCTACTTTTACTCCTTCTTACTTCCCAGTCATGCAGTTGGAGAGGATGTTAGTTCTAAATCTAGTGTGAACAAGTGGGCTAAGGAATTTGAATTTAACTACCATAATTGAGGAATATTTGCAGAGCTTGTGCTACGTGCTGGGCAGGGAACTAGGTGCTGAGATCACCTAGACATGCAAAGAGCTCACAGGCAGTTAGGGACAGTCAAGCAGGAAACTACAGGGTCACCAGCACTGTAGGAAGAGTGGCCCTCAATGCAGTGGGGCTGGAGTAGATGGCATTCTCCAGAACCATGTGCAAAGGCCCATGGCCGGCAAGAAGATGGTACATTCCAAGAACAACAGAGCTCATATGCCTGGGTAAGTGAACAGAAGAGCAGAGAGTTCAAGAGAAACATGTTCCAGTGCGAAGTTAGCCAGAAAGGTACAGTATCTACTGTGACCATGCTGTGGACATGAAGGGAAGACCCAGCTGCTGCAGCCTGTGGCCCGCAGTCTCAGAATGATGACTCTCACCAACCCTCTTTGATGACACTAGTTAGTGTAATTTCACTTTACATGACTACAAGACTAACTCGCTAATAACCTTGGCCGCCCAGTTTACCAAGCCCTAATGGAAGAAAAATAAGTTTTAAACTTGTAGCAACAGAAGGCTTAGAAACAGATTATAGTTTAAAATATCTACATTCTTTATTTAAAGGTGTGTTTTTTCAAAAACAAACAGACAAACATGTTGAGCCCAGGCTGGTGGCTCAGTTGGTTGAGCATTGTCCTGTACACCACAAGGTCAGTGCGATTCCTGGTCAGGGCATATACCCAGGTTGAGATGCTTATGGGAGGCAATCGATCGATGTTTCTCTCCCTCTCCCTTCCTCTCTAAAATCAATAAACATATATTTTTTTAAAATTACCTACAAGGACCTTTCATATGTTTTTGATTCTCAGAATCACCCTGGGGATAGGCAGGTTTTAATTATTCATTCTAATGAGGTATTTTCTCCATAAATACAGAATACTGCCAAGAAAAGTTTGCTGTTAGACCCTAGTTTTTAAAAAGCTGTTTTTCTGGTAACTTTAGTTTCAGAAATTGCATTAAACATTTCTTATTTCCACAAGTTCATCCTTTACAAAGAAGATAAGAAATTTCTGAAGTCCACCTTTGAATTCTTTTTGGATTCACTCTGGCTAAGTAACATTTTTAGTTGAGAGAAGTGTTTCTTTGTTTTGTTCACATTTTTTGAGGAGCAAGTGGGTGTTGAGTGTCCAGATGTGGGTGTTCTGAAAAGAAACATAAAACTACACTTAGGAATACTGACAAAGGACAATTTAAAAAGTGTTCTTCCTGCTTAGCCTAAATGACTGCTATCAGACACGTTTTCCACTCTTCTGTATTATGGCCATATATGAGCAGTGGCTGTACCCAGCAGTCACTCCCAAAAACCTCCTCACTAAGTAGGCTACAAGCAACATTTAGTTGGTATATTGGGTGGTTCTGGAAGCTTCTATCACACCTGAAAGAGAAGGCTAAAGGTAAAGTGTCATCAGGTTTGAGTTCTCTTTAAGTCTGACATCAAGACTCATGACAAAGCTAAGCAATGACTTTGAAGGATCTCAACCTACACATGTAGGTACCATTCCGTTGTATCTTCCCCAGAATGGAAGCTCCACGGGGCAGGCACTCTGTACTAATTGTATAGTCCAGTGCTTTCTAACAGTGCCAGGCACAGAGGAGGCCCTCTATATATATTCACTCCATAAATGATTCCCCATCTGGTATGTGTATATTTACGCCTCATTCTATTTTATTCTTTCCAATTGTGTTTTATCCCAAACCTTTATTTGGGGTTTGTCAGCCTGACCCCTCTTCTGCCTCCCCATCTATAAGATAAATGTGAAATATTTTTCTCAGTCCTGCATGTCTAAGAAGCAGTCTGGTCTAAATGCAAGTGAATTCTTTTAAATACACCAAATTTTCTTTTATCTACTTTTATCCAATAAAGTGGAAACTTCCATGATGAATTCCTATCATACCAAATAACAAAACAATTAAATTAAGAATATAGAGAAAACTGGCCTTGAAATTTAATTCTTTTTTTTTTTTTCTCTTTCTAAGTTTTATTTTTATTTTTTTTTTAATTAATAAATCTTTTATTGTTCAGATTATTACAGATGTTCCTCTTTTTTCCACCATATCTCCCCTCCACCAGGTTCCCACCCCACCCCATGCCCTTACCCCCTACCACTGTCCTCATCCATAGGTGTAAGATTTTTGTCCAGTCTCTTCCCACACCCCCCACACCTCCTTCCCCCCAAGAATTATCAGTCCATTCCCTTTCTATGCCCCTGCTTTGAAATTTAATTCTTATCCAATAAATCCAACATTAAAAAAACTCAATTCAGAAAGCAGAGAATCCAGTCCTTCCTGAATTTTGTTAAAGCGTGCCCAGTCATAGTTAACTCAGTATCATTTGACAAATCCCTATTTAGTTACATCTCCACAGGAATTTATTAGAGAAACTAACAAGAACAAAGATTTAGAGCAGGAAAGTAAATGGTGAGTTGTTCAGTTTTGCTGACACACAGGATACATTAGGCAAAGTAACACAGGCAGACAGATTGATGCCAGGCAGTGAGGGCTGGAGAGCCTGCTGCATGCCCCAAATGGTGCTTCTAATCATAGCTGTGATTCAGGAGATCAGACAGGAAGATTCATCAAAAGAGGAATAAAGACCTGAAGAGAGAGCGGCAGTAGGGATGTAAACACCATGAAAGTAGGACAATAGAAACTGGCAGCTGACTGGACAAGGACCAAGGCAGTGGTTGTCAACTGAACTTGCCATTTCAGGTCAGAATGTCTAAAAGGGCATGTTTATTCACAGAATAAGGAACTTAAGGAGGATGGGCAGGTTTGAGTAGTTAGCCGTGGGGACCTGTAGGGGGTGAAGTGGATATATTTAGCATGCAGCTGGGAACAGGGAGAGGTTGCAAGTAGAGAAATTTGCCTTGAAGTCATACAGAGGTGACAATGAAAGCTATAGGAGAATATGAGACTAGAGAAGGAAAGGGTATGGAGGAAAAAAGAGGGCCAAGGCAAGTTTGGGCATGTACATAAGAGGAAATTAGAAGAAATACTCAGGAGTTAACACTGGCAATTCAAATAACTTAATGAATTAATTACCTGAAAGTCAATGCTGGGCTCTTGCCTTTGGAACCAGACACCCTGTGATTTAGGTTTGCAGAACCTAGAGACTTTCTCTCTGGGGTCTTCAGGCTGAGTTTCCTCGCAGGAGTGGCAGGATTGCTCCTCAGTGCTGACAGAAAGCTTCTGCTCTTTCCATGATGTTTCACTGTTTTGTTGCATGTTTTACAAGTAATCAACTGCCATAAAAAGAAGACATACATGGCATGATTTCTCTTAAAATTTAGTCCAATAAAGTACATGTTCCTTAAATTCTTATATGCAAGGGAGCAGACCAGGTACTACAGGGTAACAGAGGCTGAACTCAGGGAGCTTGTAATCTTGCAGCAGGAATCAGATCAAACACAAATTTAAAATGAGAAAATCTCCAATAAAAAATGAATGGCTAAACTTGTGTATTTAATTTAAAACACCTTTTAAAGATAATAAAGTCTCTACTTTCTCAATGTAAAACCATGTGTGTGGGTTATGGAGGAGACTGGGAATAATACCCCTTAATACCTGGATGATTCAATGTATCTTCTGATACTCGTCTCTATTAATAACCCACAAGTAATTTGATTTTGGTTGTTTTATCCATTTTATATCCCCAATACTTAGCATTATATGGCATAAGATAGACCCTCAATAAAGGTTTAATGAATGAACATAAGATGTACTTACTTTTGTTGGGCATAAACGTAAATACATACTCTGACATGGAAGAGGGGATGACTGAAAAAGTGACAAATGCCTAACAAATAAGCTACTGTTGTTTGAAGAAAAGGACCATTAACTGAAAAAATAATTTAGTGGTAGCTGCAGTTCAGGTGAAGTCACATTGGTCTGCTCAAGAAATCCTCCAATTTGTAAAAATAATTGTGCTCAACAATGAGATCTGGGAACAACTGAGAGCTCGTGATATGTGATTTTAAGTAATTGTAAAAAGCAAAAATAAGCTGTACACTTGCTGAAACAGTAATCACTAGGAAAAAAATGTATATTTTTTGCCAATTTCAATATACTACTACAAATCTCTGAGTTATGTTCAGGCTGATTCTCTTCATTTTGAGTGAAAGTCTGGAAACTGAAATCTTACCAGTACACTTTTGGAGTCTTTGTACTTTTTCACAATTTTTGCTTCTTTAAAACTGAGTGTACAATTTCTTGCTTCTCGATTAAGAAGTTTCTGTATTCTTGGTGTCAGTTTGGGCTTGGGTTTGAGGCGTACTCGAGAATTATCCAGAATCAGCAACTGGAAACAGTATGGGCATGTTTCTTCAAAAGTGCTTTTAGCATCTAAAATTATAGAAATGAAACTCATGATTCAATAAATTAGAATACTTTTTTTTACCTCAAACTGCCAATTTTATAAATGTAAAAAGGAAAGGTATATTATTATTTAATATAAGCAGATATACATTATCCTTAAGCAAACTCAAACTATGAGAATTTATTAAAAGATAAACTGGCGATGATTTATTTTGCAAAACACTATCACTGTTTCCATTCATTCCTTTTAGCAACAGACAGGTAATTCCCCACTCTCTTGCTCCTTACTTGTACTGAGTATAAAAGGCTGCATGTCTCACCTATTTTTCAAACACATTGATCACAAAATATAAAAGTTTACTATGACTTTCTTTCTTTTTAAAATAATTTTGTGGCTTGTGGGCTGGGCTTTGTCTGCAGGTAGCTCTCTCAGTATAAAGTAACAGACAACAGACTTGCCCAGACCCTTTATGCAATCAAGAAAGCATTCCCTGACCAGGCTAGGATGTGGAGACACAAATATGGGAGTGAAAGAGTTGCTCTCTTTAAAGAACTCACGTCTGGGAGCCCTAAACAAATGAAGGTAAGACTGGTAAGAACTGTAACAGAATATGATGTAAATGCCCTGGAAATTATTAAGCTGCATGGACCAGCCAACCACACTTCAAAGAGAAGGCTTGTCAAAGTTTGTCATGGATGACTATACATTCTATCTACATTTGGAGATGGCACCCATGAAAGGTAAGGAGCTTTCCGGGAGAAGTACAGTGAAAAAGAAAGCATGGCTATGGAGGGAAAGGGGAGGGCATGAAGGTGATGCAGCTGAAAAGGAAGGTGAGCACAGCATCTATTTATTCAGTGAATATTTTTTTTTAAATAATATTTTTATTGAGTTCAGAAAGGAAGGGAGAGGGAGAGAAAACATCAATGATGAGAGAGAATCATGGATCGAGCCTGCAACAGGGCATGTGCCCTTGGCTGGAATTGAACCTGCGACCCTTCAGTCCGCAAGCCTCTAGCTACTGAGCCAAACCAGCCAGGGCTATTCAGTGAATATTTACTGGTGAGCAATGTGCTAAGTCCTCGGGACACAACAGCACTACAAAGAGCTAAGCACCATGCTTGCAACTCATCTCTGCCAACTGTAAAATTCATTCCTATTTATTGAGTGACTGTTAAGTGTCAGCACTGTTCTCAGAGCTGGAGACACAGCAGTGAACAAAGGACAGTTTGTGGAAAAAGACAATAAATATAACAACAGCTAATGTTAAGTGCTGGGAAGAAAAAACAAAGGCAGGAAAAGTAAATGGGGAGTGGGGATGGAGCTGCTGTAATCCTAAACAAGGCAGCCAGGGAAGGCTTGGCGGGGGGTGGGGGTGGGGGGTGTGTGTGTGACATTTGCAGAGACCACAGGAAGTGAGGGCCGAACCCAAGCAGACATGTGAGGTCAGGCAGGAGGAAGGGTGAAGGCAGTGAAACAGCCTACTGTGGTTCGAGTTAAGTGAACAAAAGGGAGAGCAGGTCAGAGAGATGACGCCACCTGTGATGTGAGGCTTTGTCCTCCCTTTACAAGATTTTCACTTTCACTGTGAGATGGGAAGTTGAGAGCTTGTGGCAGAGAAGGGACATGCTCTGGCGTAAGCTTTTACCAGGCTCACTTTGGCTGCTGGACTGAGAATGGCCTGCGTAAATGCATGGGAGCTGCTGGCAATAACCTGGGAGAAAGACTGGTGGCTGGGACCCGGCCTTAGATAGCTGTGGTGAGAGGCGGCTAGAGGACGGATATATTGCAAAACCAGGGCATGTTGGTTTGGGAAGGGAGTCAAGAATGGCTGATTACAAAGAGGAGTTATTATTTGCTGCAATGGGAAGACTTGTGTTGGGGGATAAAGCTTGGGTTTTGCCTTCAGAGACATTCAAAAGTTGCAAGAAGGCATCAGGATGTGTCTAGAGCCTGGGGGAGAGGTCTGGGTTTGGGGGTATAAATTTGTAAGTGCTCAGGATACAGCATTTAAAAGCCATGAGACTGGATGACAAACTGTCACCCAGGAGGTGAGTGCAGCTAGAACAGAGGTCCCAGGGCAGAGTCCTGGATGCTCCAACATTGTAGAGATTGGGGAAGCCAGGAGGGACGTTACGGCAGCTCGAGACGGACTGGCTAAAGAGGAAGGAGAGCTGTGAAGTCAAGTGAGGAAACTGTTTCGAGAGACTGGTCAAGGTGTCCAATCCCGCTAATAGGTCAGGCCAGGCCAGGCCCATGAAGCCCGGGAAGGGGCGCGCGGCAGTGGGGGGATCAGGTTTTTCTCGTCGCTCATTCTGAGTGCTACGCGGGACGGAGGGGCGCGGGCGAGGCGAGCCTGACCCGCAACCCACGGGCGTTCTCCTTACCGTGTGACGAACTGAAGGCCCAGCTGCAAAAGAGAAAGAGGCCGTGAGGAACGCGGGCACACCACCCCGCCGCGCTCCCGCTCCCCGCGTCCCGGCCTTACAGGAGATAGCGGGCCTGGCCCGGGCAGCGAGCCTGCAGTTTCCGCGCCGCAGCCTCGAGGTAGTGCTTCTGCCTCATCGCCACCACAGTCCCACCGAGACACAAGGAGACTCCGGAAGCTGGGCTCCCGGCGTGGCGGACTTTGACGTCCGGATCCACATTCCGCCCGGAAACGGGCGCCCTCGATGAGGCGTTCCGGTCGCTTTGGCTCTGTCCCACGCGGTCCGG